GAAGAACCTACAGATACTGTACTATTTACTAGGCCTATAAATAATAATCGCCCAAGGGAAATATCTTTTGTGTTATTTCCCCTTTGTCTAAGTTCCCCTTAACGTACAGGCAATAATAATAATAATAATAATTATTATTATTATTATTATTATCATTTCGGCATTACATGTAATTAACTTGGTCTAGCCTTGTAATCAAGAACCTGCCGATTACTATGCCTAATATTAATAACTAGCTCAAAGTTCATTTGGTGCTCTGCCATTTTGGCAGGTCTTATGGCATCCAGTGTTTTAGAGCTGCCCTATTCTCAGCTCTTCTCTTAATTTGAAAATAACTGTCATTCTGTTTCATTTGATCAGTGATGAAGAAAAACGCGCTTTTCCTTACACTTTGTGCTTTTCCCAGAAAGCCTTTTTAGTAGGCCTACTTGTAGGGCCTAGGTAATTATGTAAAACCCAGGCCTAACTAAAAAATTAAAATTGTCATAATATGTAACTCAAGTTAAAATAACACTTTTCATTACTCGTGCAGCTTAATCAAATATTATATGTCATTTTAAACGACCCATTGGTATTAACATGGTAACATCAATGTATTTTAAAAAATCAGACAGCGACGTTCTCTCAGAAGTTGGTTGTTCTGTTACCTGTAGACGTTTATCTGTTGATGACCTTTTGACCTCCTGAATTCTGCAATGAGATTTTCGGGTCGATTCAGCCGAGGCGGCCCGAGTGGAGTTTCATGTAAATGTTTCGTACGGAAAAAAAAATCGCGTCCGGCCATGCGATTCTGCGCTGTATTGTTGTTTTATTCTTTACTGATTCATGATTATGCTTTAATTGTTTTGTGTATTATTTGGATAATAGCAACGATTTCTACCGCCACCAAGGAGGTTATGTATTCACCGATGTCACTGTCTGGGTGTCTATTCTAGTATCTTTGTTGAGAATTGATAATAAAATACGCGACGACTTGGTAACGAAAGTTTGGCACAAGTTTTTTTAGATCCAGCTGTAGGGGGCGTCCCATTTTTTGTATTCCCACCATGCATTTCGGTGGAACACGGTGGAACACTTTTTTGTGTGTGGAGAGAACTCTATCTTGTATTTCTAGTATCTTTGCTTTGATGAAGGAAGTTGGAAGAGCATGCGCAATGCTGTGGTATGGCTGGCATTTATTAAAGAAAACTTAATTAAACAAAGTAGCAGTTGGACCACCGCGGGTGTTCAATAATGGCTGGTGTTATTTTAGAAAACCTCAGTAACAAAAAGTTGGTTGGTTTCTGTCTAATTTTGCTATTAGTGCAGATAGTTTGCTTCTTAGTCGGTGGACTTATTGGTGAGTTTAGCAGCTAGGCCTAGGCCTAGGCCCTCAGTAGTTAATTTAGCTAGTGAGCTGGCTTGTCTAGCTAGCGCCTCAGCCAGGCCGTGGGAGCCGATCATTTCAAGAATCTTGATTTATAAATGAATCGTCTTCTTTTATTATCTTTTTATTTTTATTTTGTAGTTATTATTGTTCTTCCTTTGTAGGGCATCAAAACTTAAAGCTTGCTTGTAATTGATGCCTTTTCAATCAATCTTTGAATTGGTAATTGTAAAAAAAATATATATATGATAAAGGAAATTGATTGAATAAAAATTTATTGTGAATTGTCATTTCGGTCAGGTCTCTCTTCGGAGATTGCGCTTTATTGCCAACAAATATATGGAGCGCCACAATTGAGTTGCGAAAACGCAAAATCTAATATGCTTACTGTAGACCAATTTGGTATGTATGTATTGTATGGTCTTGTTGCATTTTCGTATTTATATACTAGGCCTAGGCCTAATACCACTTTTATTTACGCTATCAAGCCAAACAAACACCCATTGACAACTAACACCCGCTAAACACCGGTGTTGAACGCTGTCGTCTATGGACATTTTTTATGAAAACTACACTGTACAGACAGTAGCTCAATTAGTCTGCAATCAAATTCAGTTTTGCAGGAGGAAAACACTATAATTTATTTGTACAATAAAGAACAAATTTCAAAACAAAAATACAATCCAAAGCTGTAAAATATAACTTGCGTTATGTTTATTATTTTTAGGTAAATACTTTAAAAAATCAAAATATACAAATAGGCCTATTAAAAAAAAGAATAATTTTAATGAGAGTGGATGATTAAAATCCCAGTTTGTGAAAGTCAGGAATGTGTACACTGTGTGTTCTGATGTCAACGGGACTATACTTGAGAAGCTTCTGAAAACATTCAGCTTCGTTGAACTGGGGTTCAGCACATCAGAGTCCTTGACCTTCACCCATTTACAGTAACCACAACTCCGGATCACGGTGTATCTACAACGGGGAAGTAAAAGCGGGTTTATTCCAGAGTCCCCGCTGATAGTGTAAAATGGGTATTATTTTGCTTCTACATTAAAATATAGATTACTCAGTTAATTTATGGAATATATGCCTATATTATTTGTTAGTCGGTTTTCCATACTTTTTTTTTATCTTTGTTTTGATGTGTTTTCATTAACAGCATATTTATTATTATAAGAATCACAATTTTTATATTCCTGTTTTCATTGACAACATACTTATACAAACAATATTGTATTTCCATTGATTTTTTGGACGGTTTTTATTTTCTTTTTGTTATCTTTCTACTAACAACAAACTTTAAAACAGCAAATAAAATAAATGCTGACAAATTGGTGTATGTCTTTTCTTTTTGTTGCATTTCATATACTATATACTTATTTTGCTTCTACATGAAATATAGGTTTTTTACCTATGTCCAATATTGATTCTATTTTTCTTTATCCAGTTACAGAGGATGAGATCTTAAAGTTAATATCCAATTTAAAAGATAATAAAAGTCCAGGAATGGACAGGTTTTCCAACAAAATTATAAAGTCTCATATTTTATATCCAAACCTCTATTATACATTTTTAACTTATCTATATCAACTGGTGTATTTCCTGACTCTTTAAAAATAGCTAAAGTTATACCCATATACAAAAACAATTACCGTCTGCTCTCTCTTCCTTGTTTATCAAAAACCGCGGCTTTCTGCTCAAACTTTTAAAAAGCTACCTTTCCAATTGCTTCCAATATACTTCTGTTAACTCCATTGACTCATCTCTTTTATCTATCTCTTGTGGTGTTCCCCAAGGATCAATTCTTGGCCCGCTTTTATTTTTAATTTACGTTAAAGACCTACCAAATTCTTCCAAATTGCAAGCTGCAAACTGCCATCTTACCACCCCACATCACTAATCTTTTCATTAAGGCATCTGAACGTCATCACTATAGCACAAGGTTCTCTTCTACTAATTACACCTCTAATACTATTTGTCTAATATTGACTATTCAGATCTTCTGTTGTTTGTGATTTTTTTTGTCGGGGTTAATTACAGTACATCGCATCCCCATCTGGCATTTGTTCAATAATGAATTAAAACAATTGAGTAATTAAATGTTTTATGAAGGCCTATATATACACATATATAACATGAAATTAGGTAAATCGGGGAATCAGGTTTGCAGGGAATAGGCCCTATATTGGAAAAAGGCTTAGGCCTAGCCTTGTCAGGGTGCACCTAGCCTACTAGACCCAGATCCTATCCAACAGCAAATCATTCAACGGCCATTTTTTTCTGAAAACTTCGTACACTTGACTAAAGTTTTTTTTTTTTCACATTTCCTTTTTAAAATATAAAACAAGGGAACAGTATTCCATGTTAACATGGTCGACTAACTCTCCTCCGTACGTACATGTGCTGCGTTGTCGTAGTCGCCCTAAAAAACGAAAACAGCTCTTGTTGTAGTACGCGAACAGCATCTTGTCGTTGCCGTCATGCTCCATTAGTTTGTAGTAGACTAGCCACGTATTAACAACGAAAAATGCCTACTTTCGGAAAAAAAAGTCTCATGCCTTCAATTCGCCTAACTCTGAATCCCTCATGTACTGTACAAGTTCCCTCAGTAGCATTTCCTACCTCCTGGTAAAAGCAGTGGCGTCTGTAGGATATATTTTATGGGGGGGGGGGTGGCTAAGCTGTCTGACAGAGGGGCTGAGTGAGATAAGGATAACTTTGGTGCACATCACCATCTGAGGGCCTTCTGACCGAACGAGGGGAGAGTTTGGCAGGGGGCATAATGAGATTTTTTTTAAGAATAGGGACCTTTGGATGACAGGAAATGGCACTCTCAGACTTGAAAAATACTTTTAAATGTAAAGTTGATAAAATACAATTGTTACTATACTGTACTCCTAAACTCAATAAACTTTTCGTTTCATTAGGCTTGTTTTTTTTGGGGTTTGACTGCCCTACGAGCTTTGGCTGCTAAAGGATTGACCTGTCCGATGGGGGGCTTAAGCCTCTCCTGCCTGCATTGGGTAAAAGTTAAAAATATAAAAATATAATCCACCTTTCTGCATTGCTTTTCAAGGATGTCTACATAATATAAAAACCTTTACGTACTGTACAAATTGTTAAGAATAATGTTTCTCTGTCACTTCTACTTTCAGCACCCAAGCCAACAGATGCCAACAGTCACCTTGCAACAAAATGCATAGATCCTTCAATAATTGTAGATAAATGGTTCATACCAAATGGTGCTGGACAATGCAACAAAGTTTTGACTTTCGATGAGGCTGCGAGCAAGCATATTGAGGCTAATCAGATTGTGTTCGCCGTGCAAATGCCCCACAGACCCTTAAATATGAGTCGTAGTTTCCAGTTCCTACTTACGATGCTTCGACTTGACACACAGTACAAGACAACGAATCCTGATCGTAAGTTCAAGGTGTGATAAATTATTTAACTTTAATAATCAATGCTTGTTTCTGTTAACTAGATTAACAGTGAAATTTTTATTTTAATAGCACCAGAAGATATGACAATGATAGTCCGTATTGGTTATAGAAATAGTGAAAAAGAAGAATGGAAAGAGCTTGCAAAGGTTACAGAAACAAGAAAGTTGGAATGCACTCTTGATTCGGTAAGTCCAGTAACTTCAGTAGGTTTACTTGGTACTTCTATAGCGCTTATTCCTTGTGATTAAAAAGCGATAACTACCCTACACTGGTAATGAATATTTCCCTCAAGTACAGCCAACCCCAACCAAAATCAATAGAGCATGCTTTCATTCAAAGACCATAGTAAATCAATGGTAATAAAGTATGAAAAGATTAAAATGAAATGTGCGCAAAAACTACCAAACCCAGCCCAACACGTGATAAACTCAGTTGAACAGACAGGTTTTAATGCTTGACTTAAACTGTCTGACAGTTTTCAATGGAAGGAGGCAGGATATTCCGTAGTCGAGTCGCTGCAGATTTGGCCTCCGGGCCATGACGTGGAATTTTTAAATAAAATTTAATTGAAGGAAGGGCACTTCTCTATGATAGTTGAAAATAATGTTGTTATACTCAATTATAAATTCTCTGTGCATTTTAGGACTTGGAAATCATACAATCCTGGCCCTTTGTAAGCTTTGAGCTTGCCTACAAGTCGTAGTATGTCCCACATACATTGATATGACACTGATATGACATGGTTTATGCCTTGAATATTGTGTGCAATAGCATATCTATTAATCTTTACAGACTGACGACGAGGGTGTCTCGGAGGGACAGGCTTACGACTGTGATCCATTACCGTTTTTTGAGCTAAGCAGTTGTCACTACAATCAGTACCTGGTTAATATTAGATTACCAGTAGGCAGTGATGATGAAGCTGACAAGTACAACACCCAGTTGGGCAGTGTAACAGATATTTGGATCACTGTAAGTTGTTTAATTCAGTAGCAGGGTTCCCAATTTTACAATATCAAATAATGCAATGTCAATTTTATAACCCAATCCCCATTCATATCTGCCACAACATAACTCCATTTTTAAGTCAATTATAAACAATCAATTACAACATAGAATAAACTTCCAATAATACACAATCAAAACAATAAAGTGATTATTCTTCCTGTGCAAGTAATACAGTATACTGTTGCCTACCAACAGAATATAAGGTTCATTTATGACAATGGCAGGAGGGTACAGGAAGGTGCATGCTCCTAAAAGAAGCTTCTTCCATCCAGGTTTCTCCCACTCAAAATTTGTAGAGTAAAAATTTATTCTCTATTAATTGAAAATCACTTTATTTTGGTAGCTAGTCCCCCTCTACTTCACCTTCAAACTGCCATCATCCACCATGAACTTAAAACTTTAATACAAGCTGAATTAATGTATAAAATTTATATTGTATTATACAGGAATTATTTAATAATGTGCAAACAATTTTACATGGAATTCTTAATGCTTTACAACCATCAGGAAATTCACCAAACTGGTGGATTCACTTTGGTGTGGTTTACAATGAAGACTGTGATAACACCCATTCCTCTTGCATTCCTCATCTGGTTTTGGCTACGAATCAGCAAGTTAAGACGGCCACCAGTTTTAATGGAGAAGTAAGTATTGTTGAATTCCGAATTAAAAGCTACAGAAATTATTTAATGCCATAATTATGATTAATAAATTGAATATGCAAGCTATAAAATGTGTCATGATAAAATTTGCCTTTTTAGTTCCTATGCATGTAATGCAATAGGAACTATTGTAATCACTCTTTACTGTTTTTCCTGTGTGTAGTGTGTGTGTGCGTGCGTGTGTGTGTAGACATTTATGCAAATGCGCATGCGTCAAAGAAAAGTTTTCCAACATTTTGTTTTACCTTGCGATGGAAGTTTGATGTGAAGTTTCTGCAGTGTTCAGTCAGGGCTCACGCTAACCGATTGGCAAGTTGGCATGATGAAACTATTTTGGTTTAGCGGCAAAAAAAAAATTAACTGCTATACACATAGGCATTTTGAAGAAGGCCTAAAATAAAAAAAAAAGGTTTTAATACTTGCTGAAATACATTGTTTTTTCATTTAGATCTCCATTTTTCACTACCTCCATGCAACATTTTTTTTGTTGTTGTATGAGTAGTCATATGAAGGTACTATATCCCCGACAGTTGGCTATGCAGCAGTGTACCCTTTGAATGCAAACTGAAGACAAGTGAAGATATAAAGGCAGCCAACTTTTGGGTACATAACGACTATCTAGCTTAGGCTTTCCACAAAAACGTGAGGCCTAGGCTAGGCCTAGTTTAGTATAGTAGTTACTGCAATGCGAGGGTGGTAGATTGTTTAATCGATGATATCGTGTTGTCATCTAATACAAATATAATGATAGTAAAATTTAAGAATGCACCGTGTGGGTCGCTTTCTTTGTTATGCGGTAGAGTGACGGCAGCAAGGCTAGGCCTAGCCTAGGGCCTAGATCATGTATGTTCTTGATCATCGTGATGAAAACTTCGGGTGACAGACGATTGGGCCCAACTGGTGTGGACGATCGGGCCCAAGCTATTTGTAGTCTAGTAGGCCACTGCTAGCTCCCCCACTCCCGATATCGTTTCAAACTACAGTACTGTAAAATGAAAATACTATATACCTAGCTAGGCCTAGGCCCTAGGCCTACAAAAAAATTTTCAAAGAAATTTGCTAAAAATATTACTGTAATTTGTCTATCAAATTACATTACCAGTGTGGTCTAAAATCAATATTTTGGACCATAAAGACTCCCCCTGAATTTTTCAACCACCACACAAATTTGACCCAACCATATTTTCTGATTCTGTCATTTATGATGACTTAATCATAAAATATGGTTGGTTAAGTCATGTATCATGCATAGGAACGTTGGTGCCTGCAAGGCTCTGGTTTATTATGTTAAGATATGAAGTATAATTGTTGCTAATTATCGGCAATTCATAGATTACACAATAATCAGAGACTTCTTGTTGATTTTGCTTTGATAGATTTGTCATGGTTCTTGGAATTTCTGTCACTTTCTTGAATGGTAAGGCTAAGTTCATATTTGTTATAATTCTCTGGTTTATAAATCTAAAATATATTGATCTAAATTTACAGGTACATGTTGCATCGTAGGTACATTTGCAGACTACATTTTTAGGCGTTGTAACCCTTTTCATTTAAATTTTCTGCAATACTTTCTTTTTTGTGAAAGGGCACAAAGGTCTTAAGTTGAATGATACTGCTTGAGTTCCCCAAGGGTATGTTTTGGGATCTTTGCTATTTAACAACCTGAACTTGCATCTTAACTCGTGCTTTTCTGATATGCACAATGTAAGCTATTAACATTTTTGACTCTTCCAGTACCAATTGAATGGCTGACCTTCTGGTTTGAAGTACCATACATGTTGCTGATCAGTGACATACGTCAAGGAATCTTCTACGCTACGTTACTGTCATCTTGGATTGTTTTCACAGGAGAGCATCTCATGGTAAGTGGTGCCATCAGATAGTTTACAAATATTGACTGCTCATAAGGGGAATAGTGAAATCTCTTCCACCAAGGTGATGTGGAGACCGAGACCTGAGGGCCGAGGGAAGATAGGCTACGGTCTCCACATCACCAAGGGGCTATAGATTTCACCATTCTTGAATCTAGAGCACCTAACAAGTAATGAAAATAATACACACCAAGGAGTCCTAGGCGATCAAAAGGCCAATCTCTCTCAGCGAGCGTCATGTAGAGGTCGCGTCTTCTTTACCGTTTGTGTGTGTCATAAATTACATAGCAACGCAGTTAGAGATTGCACATCGAATGACAGGGCAATAAAATACTATTTTTAGGGGAAGATATACAAATATTATAGATAAATATAGAGCAGTCAATATTTGTTTTATATACCTCATACATAGATTCTACGAGGCCTAAAAAAGTACTTACTTCTTAGCCTCTTATATTAGAGGCATACTAGGCCTACTACTACTCGACTAGCTAGGCCTAGGCCCTATTAGGCGATCACAGACTGTGTCTAGCTCTTCTTTGCTTATTTTCTCAATTTCAACAGCACCCATCATTTATTGCCCCGCTTCTTAACCAATCAGATGCCTAAAATCTATTTATGAGGTATATAATATCCTATAGAGAAACAGTATGGAGGCATTGCAGATTTCCTGTTGGACTCACAAAATATTTGGGACCCTTAATGTGATAACAATATAAATAGAATTGTCAACTCATTAAGACTATTTCATTGCTAATTTTAGGACACAGTTGAGCGAGCAAGAATCAGTGCATATTCCAAACAAGTTGGTACCATTGCTTTCTGTTGTTTCAGTATGTTTGTCTTTGACATGTGTGAAAGGTAAGAATGAATCTTGCATCCTAATTACCAGTCATTATGTAATGGTGATAAGCTGAAAAATTATAATATTTACATGTTATTATGTCTCTAATCATCCTAATTAGGCCTCTAATTACATTAAAAACACTTGAGCTTTGGGGCTTCTCCCCAAACCCTCACCAAGCCTCCACCAGCCTGCAGACTGGGGCCCTGCTAATAATTATGTCATTGTCATCAATCCACTGACTCAGCGCACAACAGTTGTCATGCAAGCATCATTTGGAGTTTGTTCTGCATGCTCATCAAAGGGTCACTGGAGTCACTAAATGGTCAGAATATTTTGGTTGTGAGTTTTTTGGAAATAGAAAATGATTCTATGCCGATTGACATGTAACACTCTTGTGTACAGTATTCATTGTGGTTCACCATAAAAAAATATATGTTCTATTTTTTTCTATTACATGCTGTTGGTGCATAATATGAATTAACTGGCAACACAAAACATGGTGATTAATTTTATTCAGATATTATAAGTATGATACATTATTCTGCAGAGTTGCTACCGGATTTTTTCTCTACTACATCATATACAATCTTTGATGCATGAAATTAAACATTTTACTTTCAGAGGTGTACAACTTTCGAATCCTTTCTTCACTTTATGGTCAACAGAGACTGGCAAGAACTTGGCTGTATCCTTTGGATTTGAATCAGCTAAATATAGAAACATTTTATATTTCTTAAAGTTATATTGATTGAATTTATTCGATGTCCATTCCAATTGTAATATATATATACTGTCTCTTATACACATCTAGAGCCCTTATCAGTCCTGCAGGATGATTTATCCTTGTTAGAATAGGATGAAAATAATTAAGACTGACCTCAAACGTATTGCCAATGACTTTGATACATTACTCTGGCTTGCTTGTTATCCTTCACCTCTGACCCCTAGATGCTATTCCTTGTGATGGCAGGCATTTGTTTTGGTGCATATTTCCTCTTCCTTTGCTTCATGGTCTGGCAAGTTTTCCGGAACATTAGTATCAAACGACTGGCACTGCCCCACATGCTAAAAGCAAGACGGCTCCATTATGAAGTGAGTATTAACATGAGTTTGCCTTTGTTTTATTGCCTATTAAAGCCTGTTTTCCATTACACGAATATATTCGCGTGAACCAAAAGTTTCGGTTCATTTCCTGAGCTTTTGATTAGTTACACATTTATTCACAAAAAGTAGAAACAGTTCAAACTGCTGATTTCACTGCAGCGAAAAAAAATCTGATAGAAATGTGAATGCACATGGATCGATGCTTTCAATTTACGCAAATAAATTTGACTAGTGGAACGCTTATGTCCCATTTGTGGCTTAACTCCATTAGCATTAACTGAATTTTACCTTTGGTAGCTGTGAGCAAGTGTGAGTGATGATAACATAAGCATTCTTGCAATCTCTTATGTTTTTTTGTATGTGTTATTGATCTTTCTATTCAAATATCTCTCCTTTATTGTGATAGGGTTTGATCTACAGATTCAAGTTCTTCATGTTGTTTACATTGCTATGTGCTGCCCTCACAGTCATCTTTTTCATTTTGAGCCAAGTGTATGAGGACCATTATAAGATGGGACATGAGAAGACACTGCAGATTAGCAGTGCCTTCTTCACCGGTGTTTATGGCATGTGGAATATCTATGTGGTCGCTGTAATCTTCCTCTACGCCCCTTCACACAAGAAGGTTTCCACAGATGATGGTAGGAATGCTTTATTTTTCTTTTTATTAAGAAGCCCCTGAATTTTCAATCCCAGACTCCCGTGTTCTTTTGCACCATATTCCCAGGGTCATGGATTTAGCCCAAAGTGCTTAATAACGATTGACTCTACCTTGTAATTACTAGTACAGTACTACCTTTTATTATTAAATGATAATATAAATCAGTTGATTTATATTGAATTAACTCAGTAGCAAACCTTTTCCATTTTTCTGTTTTCCTATGTTTTTAAATTACAATAGATACTATTGCTATAATGAAGATATTAATTTTCAGTCCCAGGGTGTCCTGTACTCAGCCCTAAGTGCTTAACAACAATTGACTCTACCTTGTAACTACTAGTACAGTACTACCTTTTATTATTAAATGATAATATAAATCAGTTGATTTATATTGAATGAACTCAGTAGCAAACCTTTTCCATTCTTCTGTTTTCCTATCTTCTAATGTTTTTAAATTACAATAGATACTATTGCTATAATGAAGATATTAATTTTCAGTCCCAGGGTGTCCTGTACTCAGCCCTAAGTGCTTAACAACAATTGACTCTACCTTGTAACTACTAGTACTACCTTTTATTATTAAATGATAATATAAATCAGTTGATTTATATTGAATGAACTCAGTAGCAAACCTTTTCCATTCTTCTGTTTTCCTATCTTCTAATGTTTTTAAATTACAATAGATACTATTGCTGTAATGAGAGTATGAATCTTCAGTCCCAGGGTGTCCTGTACTCAGCCCTAAGTGCTTAACAACAATTGACTCTACCTTGTAACTACTATCTTTTATTATTAAATGATAGTAACATTCAATTGATTTAGATTAACTTAATTCTGCAAACCTTTTCCATTCTACTGTTTTCCTATCTTCTAATGTTTGTAAATTACATTGAGTTTATTACTTTATTTTATCAATGTTTAAATATTTTAATATGAATCTGTGTGAGTGGGAATCACTGACTTTTAGTTACAGCGATTAGGTTCGCTTTTGTTTTTCCTTCCAGCTCACCCAGTTGGATGATTTTTCTCTGTACTGTCTGTGTTTTTTTTTTTTGGAAATAAAATAAGAATAAAGGACTATTTGCTGTAATAAGGGCATGTATTACCTAAGGCTATTCTAACTGAACACTCTTTTCTGTATTCTTTTTAATGAGTTCATGATACAGCTGTCCAATCCTGCATTCAATGCAGGTACAGCATGTTCAAGCTGAGGGCGGACATAACTTATATGTAGTTACCAGATCTTATTATGTGAGATTAAATTTCTTTAAGAATTATAGCATGTATAATTCATGTATAATTCATGTATAATTCATGTATAATTTTGTTTTATCCTCTTTAGTAATGTAATTTACATGATCATTCCATTTTAGATTGAGACTGATAACAGCCCTTAAAGATTTTAACAGATTTAGCACCATTAATGTTAAATAAAATTGAACGCCTTCAGAGCCATTTATTCTTTCTAAATCCATAGCAAAACACTTGTCAGGATTTAGTTTGTTACTAGCTCACTTGCATGTTGGTGTGGTGATGAATGTTTTGTACCGAGTCCGTCGATCCATTTTCAATCAGTTTGATATCATCTACATATTTCATATAACCTATCTTGTTACAATGATTCTCAGGTTGAGAATTAAAAATTCTACTTCAAACAAGCACGGTTCTTTGGGTAATAAACTGCACATGTTCATTTCTCAAGCAAATTATTGTGAAATACTAAGAATTCCTATTAACAAGCGAACAAACATGACCTTTGCTATGAATAATAATCTGCACATGTTCATTTTTCAAGCAAAGGATTGTTTGTTTAGAATACTGCTCAGACAGAGTACTTAGAATGCTGCATTTTCTGACACAAACAAGCATGATCCTTTGTTGAGTAATGAACAGGTGCGGTTTAGCCTAAATAAAGGAGGTATTTTAGCTCGATTGGCTGGTGGTAGCCACTGTGTGTGCGCTGAACTGTGGAGATCTGTGGTCCCTGGTGTAATTCTATCTGCTGCCCTCCTTGTTTTAGCTAGAGGGCTGAAATGCAAGTTTCAATAGCACACCCTCTTTGGGATGAGTCATTTAAGCTACTGGTCCTAAAGAATGTACACCCTTCAGAAAAGAGTAGGGAGATTGTATCCTGGTGCACCGCCCAATCACCACCAGAAAAACCCTACAGGAAAAAAGTCTTCTAAATTTGAAACCAATCCAATTGTAAATTCACAGATAACACAAGTGATGGAAGTCATGTGGAATTTGAGCTGAATTCAACGGCAACAACCCCATCCCCAGAGGAACAGCCTACAGCAGCTACACAACAGCAACAGTCAGAGCTAAAGAACCTGCTAACTAAGACTGCAATTGATTAGAGTGTGGTACCAAGCATCCAGACTTAAAATAAGTTATTGAAATATATTCATTTCTACTTTAGTTAAATTTTATAATGCTGCTTTTATGCACTAAGAATATATCTGGACAAGTAAGTTAGCAATGATTTAGTATGTTACTTAAATGAACATTGAACTGACTTAATTATGCATATCATATGCCTATGAACTTAGGAATTCAACCTTGAAATCATTAAAAAAAAAAAACCTTTTTACTCTTCTCTCCCCCGATGTTTACTGTAAATAATTACCAAACATTATTTTACCTTGACCAAAATTGCTTTAAATCAAGTACCTTATAAATTTGATCATGTAACGTACACCTTGACCAATGAATGAGGATGCCTTGTCTTTAATAGTCTACCTGTTTTATTTATATTTCTATTTATTATTAAACTCATTTGGGTATAAAATACAAACATTTTAACAGTAATTAAATAACAAAAGAGAGTATAATGTAATGATAAAAAATGATGTAAGGATAAAAAATATTTCATGGAAAAGTCATGAAACATCATTAAAAAATCAAGGAAAAGTTACTAATAACTGTAGAAATGTAATCAAAAATATAGGAAAAATATTAGAGTTGGTAAATTATTAAGTATTAGGTGAGCAATAGCCTAGAACAGGTGCATGAGGATAAGAGGTTTGTTGTGACTGAAAACAACTCCACTTCCTAAAGCATCAAGTCTTATTTTTGTACTTAGTGTTATTTCCATCTTGTGGTTGACAACATAATTTGAAATGTAATAGAAATGAAATTAAGTGGATGGCCTAGGGGCATATTGTTAGATGATATTGAATAATTAATGCCAATGGTTAGGAATATAAGAATATAGTGACAAAGATGGCTGAGATGCATGCAGGAAAGTTAGCATTTTAGACAAATTTATCACTACTTATGAGAATAAAATAAATAAATATTAATGTAGAGCTGTTTATACCTGTTTACCAAATAAACAGATTTTTAGTATATTTATATATTACAGTATTATATAATACTATTATATTTATTTAAAAAAAATATATATATATATAAATATATTTTTTTGTATGTTAACTGGACATGGATGGATGTGAGTCTATAACTCACGTTTCACGCTATCATGATCCTGAAAGCGTGAAACGTGCGTTATAGACTCACATCCATCCATGTCCAGTTAACATACATATATTCTTACGGTTTTTAATTTGTAATAGAGCACTCTCCCGCATGGGATGTACTTACCTAATTCAAGTATTTTATATATATATTTATATATACACTAATATATATGTATATATTGGTATATATATATATATATGTTTATATACACATACATACATATACTGTCATGTGTGTGACTGCCTTGTGGCCAGTAGTCTACCACAGTTTTTGACATTTATTTTGTTAATGTTACTATTGAAGTCAAGTTTTCTATGATTTTCTAAGGTGCTTTTACATGATGTTTTTTTCCCTATATTATACTTATATATCATTTATCGCATACATATCACTCGCTTTTAAAGCAGTGATCATATTTTGATATAAAAAATTGTCAATTCAACTGGAAATGCATATTTTTAGAGATAATGAATGCATGTAATGAATGTCTAAGTAGTACGAAAATAAATGTAATAGTTGATGTAGTATGGCAATGACATTTAATCTCTCTTTATTGCAAAAATATGTGATACACCATGGTATGACTTACAATGGAGCCAAGAAATAGATTCCTCTAATCAAGCTTGGTCCCCTTGGCTATGTCTGCCATTCAAAGACATCTTTGATGTTGTGTGTTTTCAAGTAGGTAGGGCAAGATTTTTTTATACCTTGATTTGTGAACTTATTTTTTTAAAGATCGTCAGAGGAGGGCAGACAAATATTTAGCAATTGTTTTGCAAAAAATATCCAGACGGAGGAGAAAATGAAAATAAAATTTTATTGGTGAATGTAAACAGTGTAGTAATGAGATGATTAGATGCTTTAAATTTAATACATCTTATTTTTGAATAATTCAAGGCAGCGGCAGGCGTAATAAAACAAAGTGCGCTGATTGTCAAAATGAAACTATTTTTATTCAAAATCATCATTATTGGTTGGCGGTGGGTTCGCTATACAAGGTATTAAAAAGTCTGGCCCAACTTAAACCAAGTAAAACCGTGGACAGAGATCACAGGTGGTTTGAAGACGAAGTTAAAGCGGCAGTGTACACCAAAGTTAATGAGCCACCAGTGTACACGGACAGGGGTTGATGCATACTTCCATGAGTCTTTCTTAGATCAAAGGTCAAGAAGATCGATGCTTGTCACAGACTCACTTCACCCACTGACGAAAGATGGAGTACCATCTGAAAATTCTGAGGTAAGGAATTAAAATTTGTTGTAGGACCTAAGTGTCTTAAAATTAAATCATGTAAGCTGTGTGTTTGCCAAGTTACTTGACATTCTTCATTTATGTTTTGATCAGAATATCGGATACTTTTAGCAAGATAACTCGGTCGACTGCGGTCAAGTACTTTGTTGATTTGTCGCATGATTGAACTAATATTCAGTATTTTATAATCTTTAGGAAAAATAACATCGTAAAATTGAATGTACGTATCACTGTGTGTTCATTTGCAGGTAATATAATAAACAAAACTGTAGCAAAATATATAATAAATTAGATTTACAGTGAAACATGTCACATTCTACATCAACCACAACAAAAACCTGCAGTAAGGAATGTAGAATTAAACAGCTGTGTTTGAAGATTTGGTAGACTGACCTGCTTCCCAGAGACAAAGAAACCAATGCTTAAATCACTAAAAATCTAAATAAAACCATGAAAAACAATTTTACAAAATTTGTTATACTTTATTATATAAAATTATTTATAAATATAATTAGTACCAATAATTATTTGCAAATCATTTTTCAGCATTAATAAAATTGTAGTGACATACTGACGAGACCCCCAGCAGGGGTGGATCCAGAATTCTTCAAAAGCTTCAAAATAGATAATTGAGTAGCACATAACATTGATTTGCATTGAAATGTTTAAAATTCTGTGTCAAAACAGGGGGACTTTCCCCATTCCCCCTACTGGATCCACCACTGGGACCACACCTGATACTGACCGAAATTTTCTGGATATACATCTGCTGATTGGCACTGACAATGACCGAATCTCTCATCAGTACCCCTATCAGCACCCCTATCAGCACCCCACAACTGTATTCACTTGTCCTATTACCACCACTGGATACCAGCAATGAAATTTGCTTTATTCCTTTGTCAATAACACTTTGGTTTTATAGGACGGTCTTTAATACAATACAATTCTAAAATTTATTTATATTCCAAGAGGGAGCCCCACTCAGCGAAGCTGTATTTCAGGGGAGCCCACATCACTGCCATACGACGTTGTCTGAGTTTGCCTTTATATATTAATATAACATGTTAACTGCCATTGACTTTTTGGTGCACTTGTACTACAGGGGATGTTCCTGAACACACTATACTAATTATTTTTATAAAAATAACATTAAGCAGGTCATGATTAAAATCTACTGATGTAACACCAGGCTTAGGGTAATACTAAAAGTTGCAAAATGTTTTTGTGTTTTTTTATTACGTAAATGTTGAAATATTGAATCCCAAAATGATGGCGTGTATTTCAATACTTGGAGTAAGTATTATACGTTCTTATATATCTGATATTAATCAGTGGACCTTTCATTTCATAGTAAAATATATTCACCATTGTGGAGAGAATTAATTCACTGCCCACACCCTTTAATAAAACTGAAGCAGGTATTCACTGCACTTACATATATGATGGCATATATAATGATTTCTGCTAGTAGATATTACAGTACCTGTACTTGGTAACCTTTGAATTTATAAATATTTGCACAGCTTAAAACGTTAAAGCTACAGTAATACTATAAAAATATAAATTTGGATATTACCATGAAGTGAGGCAAAACACATTCTAAATCCATCTTACACTATGATCAATATAACAAATAAGACTAGTTATAAATAGTAGTTACCTTTAGTATACAAAGAATGTAAAGATGAGATGCTTTAATATTGGAATGTAAAAAATTAGCACCCAATTTTAATGATTAAACAGATACATTTAAAGCTTTGTACACACTATCATATGGTATGTGACAAATAACTGTGATATGCCCATATTTGGGTATAATATGACATCATCATGCCCATATATGGGCACATCACACACATTTTCACATAAAATTTGATAGTTGGATAGAACTTTATAAATAGTAACATGGTAATAACATATAACTATCAAACTTGTTTTACTAGTGAATCATTGACCCTGTTTGTCAACTTATTATCACTCTGGAATTTGACCCTTTGCTCATACCATATTTGCATTTATTAAGCAAAAGGTTGAGACTACAAGAAATTACCAGCACCTGATTGTCTAGGAAAGGGGCAGAAAGCTTTTCCTGTACCCCAAAAAAATGTATTCAAAGCTAAATAAAATTCATCAGATTTGTAAACACATTATGCAGCTCCTCAGAGTAATCAACAATTTCATTACTATGGCAGCATTCATGCCAAATGATAAACTACTGGTTAAAATTTAGGATTCCCACCCAAAACATAAAAACATCTTAGTATAGTACATACTAAAAAATAAGGAAACATATCAACTGGAATATAACAAAATATTAATTACTCCAACTTTATTATAAAGCGATAAAGTACAATGGCAGGGTAACACTGTTTTATTTAAATAGCGCATTATATGATCAACAATTGCAATGTGCAAAAAAAGCAATAATCGTCAAGTGGCATTCAAATTCATTATAAACAGATGTTTAAAATAGTTTTTAACCAACAAAACAACAATACAGATATTCATGATGAAGGCAGCAGATGCTGTTCAGCCTCAATAAATTTACAGCAATTTTGATTATTCGAGATGAAAATCAAGAATAGAAAGCACAATTAGATCAAGATCATCTTTGATGTGGCCGGCAGGCCCTGTACACAGGACTTTCATTTGGTTGGTGCGAATTTGTGAAAAGAGGACCAAAATAGCTGGGGGGGTACACCTAAGGACAGAGAGCCCTTCTGTGGTCGAGTGGGCGGAGCCCCCTCGCACTCAGACATTTTTGTTATTTTGAGGTCTTAAGGATAAATTTTGAAGATGCAATATGGACAGTTTTTCAAGTGGGGCCAGTGTAGGGCCTGGGCCGGCTGCCCCCTCCCCTGCATTGAATTTGCCACTGGTTTTAAGAGCAAACATTATTCAGTCTCTATTTTTAAATGTTCTGTAGACTTTCAAAGCTGTTGATAGGGCAAAAAGCTGAATATAGCCAACTTTGGCATGTTAAGGAAAACTGATCTATACAAAGTTAAATCAATCTGATTAAAAACATTGTGGAAATGTCATTAATTAAACTATGCGTGAACATTCATTAATATGATTAAAATTGAAAAATAATCGTAAATGAATCAAGGTTGAGTAACATAATATCAACATATTGGACATAGGCATAGCCAACATGTGTAACATGCCTCTTTCAACCAGTATTTCACTGCATATATTAACATACTATTAAAATGTAAATAAAACATAATTAAATTTAAACGTGAAAGAAATTAGCGTACAATAAAGCCCATAATATTATTGGGCACTAAAAAAATTTTTTACCTTAAATGTAAATGTTATATGATAAATAAATATTCTATTCTATAAATTCAACAAAGGCCATTGGCCCCTTGTATACATACAAACAATCATAAAATAATAGTGAACAATGTGGATGATCAACTAGTTACTTGTAACTGGTTGTATATCTATGATAAATAAATGGAATTAATGGAAATTGTGGATATGAACAAATAATTACAAGCGCTTTATGTTGCGGATGAGATGGGTTGACGTGAAAAATATATAACATTGAGAATTCTTTAAATAAGCCTATTCTGATATAATTGGGACAGGATAGGGAAAGCAATGGCATTTTATTCCTTTGTTGTTCGATTTTGATTTCTGTATCATAATGAATGCGCATTATATAATAACACGAGTGCTCGCTGCAAGGCGTTCTTGCGTCACACCTGCTCGTACATAAATACCTACTGTAATCTTCATAAAGCACTTGCACATTCGCGACTTGTAATCAGTGGCGGATCCACAAATTCAAAAATAGAGGGGGTGGGGCAGGGAGGAACATTAACAGAGGGGCTTCCACAGAAATAGAAGTCCTTGGCACCCACCTCACCCCCACGACATGGTTAGAGCTAAGTTCAGGAATAAAATATAATTTCAACGAAACATATAGAAAGAAGATTAGTTTGTACGCAGCGAGTCATTGATATGCAAGCCGCGTAGAAAAACACTAAAATTCATCAAAAAGCCTATAAATACAGTTAAAATTCCTTGCTTGTACGACAAATTAGAGGCGGTTATAGTTGGAATCTGCTCTGATTGATCAAGAAGTTTCGGTGGATGGATTTCTGGGACGTGTGAGAGTGTGTCTTGAATTTTCTACCCTGGAAAATGTGGACCTTTGGCAATTTGGTGGGGGGATGCGTATACACCCATCACACCCCTCTGCGAAGTAACTGCCTTCAAGTTTTGTTTGTTCATTTGTTCATTCATGTGAATCCATAATGACAGGAGCAACACAGGTATTAATGTAGCTTCCTTTAGCAAATACAGTAATCGTGAATAATGGATTCTAGTTGCTGTTATCAGTTGACTGGAACAGTTGTAGCAGGGTCACCAACGAGCAGGTTAACAGTATGACCATACCACAATTTTAATTGGTGCTATTCTAATTATATGTATCCACATAAATAAAGGTGAAAAAAATGAATAATTATAGTGCCAACTAACAACATTATCATTTGAGGATTGTTGTGGCAAAATGGCTAAGTTGTAGCAAAAATTGAAAATCAAGTTATTGGTATTTTCAGATACCTGAGTATGTGATCTTTAAAATGAGGAGTCATTCATTTAAACTGGACATTTCAAGCCTAAGTTATTGGAAAGTGAAAGTACAGTACTCTTAGAGTCAAGATAAACATGATTTTGAGTAATTGCCTTTCAAAGTTATTTGTGCATACATTGTTTAATAGAATGAACTATGAAAAATAACGTTAAATTAAAACAATTTGTTAACCACTTCCAGAACTAATACTTTGGGACATGATTAATAAGACATTAAACTGTTGATCTATAGTGAAAAACAAATTTGGATTTTTAGGCAATTTTTTGAGCTCCCATATTTTATAGCTCATGTACTCAATACTGGACTGTGCGACAACTTAACCATTTTGCCACAACATGCCTCATTTGTTAACATCTTTGTTGGTATATGAGGTAGCAGGTAACATTTTCTTTATAATAAACCATCATCATCAATCATGCTTTAATAGATTGATAGATAGAATTAGATTTATTAATTGGTTAAATGATTGACTTTTGTTTGTAATATATTGATAAGTTTTCATAAATAGTTAATATCATGAAATGTTTATTTTTAATTTTCAGTCAACTTTTTTAAACCTGTTTCCTGTTTCATAAATACTTTATATTTGTTAGCTCTTTGTTCTACAGACTTTTGCTGCCTTCGCTAGACTTTAGCTGACTCACTTTAAATTACTTGAACTGCATGTATTTTTTTATGCTTGAAAATCCATTATCGTAATAATGAACAAAACTCGTTTCTTGTTAATGCACAAAGAATTTCAACAAAATAGCACCCTTGTTATTGTCGTTTCTTACTAATTATCTTCACTATCTTTTTCTTATTTGGAGCAATTTGATAAACTCTTTGTCTCACTATGGTACCATCATCTTTCTTGATCACAGTTTCTACATAATCTGTTGTTGAATTTGACGTCCGATTGTTTGTACTCTTTACTTCACTTTTCTTTTCATCACAACTGTATGTACCAACAGTTTCATTCATGTTGTCATGCAAACATTGTTTATAAGCATGCCATTTTTTCAAAAATGGTGTGTCTAAACTTTTGCCTTTGGTTGTTACATTTTCCCACGATGGATATTTAAAAGTTATATTGTGAGTTTCAGACCATCGTGCAAAAACTGCCTTCTCGGTTACAAATTTATGTCCTGTACGTAGTTTGTTTTCACTAACTGAGTAATACTTACATTCCCGTTGAACCTTATCAAAATAGTGGTAGTACTTGTTATCATTTGGGTGCTCTCTGGTTGAAGGAGAAAAAATGGGAAAATGTTATTTATTCCATTCAACTTATATTAGTAATTTCAGCAAAAGGAACAAGTACAAAACTTCTTATTTTGGTAGCAAAGGAGGTTCTAGAACACTCCAACACTCAAAGCATATAATACGAATAATAAGAGGATTTGGAATTATCCTTTAAGGTATAATATTCCCAACCACAAATAAGCTAAAATACACATATTTAATGACCACAATCTTAATACTTTCATGATAATGATTATTATTATTTAGAGTGATAGCAATGATGATGATGATGATGGTGATATGATAATTGTTATTATGAGTAGGGAAGTGCTTAATCAATAACTCTTAGAGAGAGTGAGAGTAAGTTTCGTTTCCATACAATTGCTACACACTATCACCAACAGCTTTCAGTGACAGCGGTGGCGCCAGAAATTTGCTGACAAGGGGTTCAACATGTCCGACGGAGTGGTTCGCGCCAAGAGGTGGTCGATGGCCCATAAAAAAAACCCCCGATTGCGCCACCACTGTTCGGTGATGCTGATTGGTTGGTTGAATTGAGAAGCCTTTTCGATTGCATCTGGGACTGCTACCAACCAATGGGGGTGCCGCAGCCACTTCAAGAAATGAGATACTTGCCGTATGTATTTTACTGAAAATTGTTATGGACTTATTGACTACCATTTAACAAAATCGCATTGTGCTCTAATAGACAGGAAAAAAGCCACTCTATAGTGCCAGATAGGGCACAATTTTACTGGTTCCCGATGGCAAAAACTGTTCTGCGATCTCGTGGCTGTACCAAAGGTAGGCTTAGCACCCAGTCTACCTTGAAATTCCCGCTAACATCGTGCAAAAAATTGTGGCACTTTGACACAGGATAGGCCAATTTCACCCCAGTCAATTCCCATACTTGTGCTACAAATTTCTCACAAGTTTACCCCATAATTAAAATGCTGCAACTCCCCCGCCTCCCCAATATTTCCCACGCTTGTACTACAAAATACCTTGCAAGTATACCCCATAAATGCTGCAACTCCCACCCCCCATATTTCCCACACTTGTGCTACCAAGTCCTTGAAAATATACCCAGTAAATG